GTTTCCCTGGAGTTGTAGACTTTTTTAAACTTTGTGTTAAATATACAACATTCACCCAGTAACACAGTTCTTTTCCTATGCCTAGCACTTTATATCTCCTTGCACACGGATACATTGGCATGCCGACTGGTATGAACCACTAACCCTTTAGTAGATAACAAATTAGTATATAACCTGCTTTACCTACAGCTAGAGCTACTCCACAGACTTTTGCACCATTACGACTTCTGTTTCCAGCCCAATAAAATTGTTTTTTTTACTTCATGACTGAGCATTAGGCCTTGGAAATATCCAATATCTACCCATACTGTACATGTCACGGCGAGTAGAGTGAGCCGTGTGGAAATATTAAAGGAGGATCCAGTCGCAGGCACTCGTGAAGGTGAGGTGGTTTATTGAACACAAAATAAAAATAGACAAACGGCACAGAAGGCTATCTAAACTGAGAACAACTAAGCTAGTGAACACAAACCAGGACCTGAACATGAAGGAGGATGAGCAGCGGAGAATGACGACGGACAGCAGGGAGAACACACAAAAGGAGCACAGTGGATACACAGACGGACCAGCAGCTACAAAGACAGAAGACGCGACTTAAATGCACACAGAGAAACACAGGGAGATTACACACAGGTGGGGGACACAGCTGGGAGTAATCAACGAGACGAGACAAGAGGTAAAACTGAACACACTCACGTGAGACGCAGACCTTCACAATAAAACAGGAACAAGAAACCATCACACAAAGACGCAGACTCGACACTGAGAGACAGACAGAAAATGACACATGGAACTTGAACTAAACCTGCAAAAAACATGAGAACACAAAACCTACGAATAACTCCCTAAACAAGAATAACTGAAACATAGATTCATAATCATCATAAGAAAAGAATCCAAAATGCAAAAACACACCAAAACATGACAACTCAAAATACTGGGTCAAACTGACCCAGAACCGTGACGGTACAGGAGTAGGACTTCATATAAATTCTCCTCAGCACACCAAAGGATTTTCTGTCAGTGACCTGGTGCTAATCACAAGAGGCCAAGATCTAAACAGTAATCAGACAGTTGGTATAAATGTATTATTTG